CACGCCTGCTGAAGACATGGGCAGTGACAATGATGGGTTTGAGCCTAGCCGAAAGTCAATATGGAGGTTTGACCCTTTAGCACCGAGCTTGTACTATGGTCCGTCCGATGAGAGTATGTATTTACCGCCACTTGAAGTGAGTTGAGGATCACCACCAAGTTTGCACGGCTGTTGGACTGATTGACATGTCAGACTATCATGCCAATAGTGGATCATTATTTTGATATCTCTAACCGAGCTGTGCCAATCTTTAACCAAGCTTGCTTCATGCGGTTGATTACTGGGTGGTATAGTAAAAAGCCTGAGCATGACAAGGCTAAGTGGGCAGCCATTTTGGCTGTCATAGCTCTGGGTGTACAGTCCCAGGTCCCCGGAGATACTATCAGTTCAATCTCCGCTCAAGATTCAGAATTGCTAGACTACTGCATGCGCAACGCACAGTCTGTTATCCCAGAGCTAATAGCACGGGATGAAGACCTTTTAGGAATTCAAGTTGTTCTTTCACTAGCGATATTGTTCCGGAATAGTAGCGACCTCCGACCGGCGAGTACCCTCTTGGGAATGGTGGTCAAACTAGCACATCGAATGCAGTTGCATTCAAGTGACCTGGCATTATACCTTGGGGCAGAAGATAGTAGGCAAGGATTACGAGTTTGCTGGATCATTTATATGCTTGACAAGGTATGAGCAAACTAGATCATATCAACATCACGAGAGCTAAACTAGGAGAGTAGGATATCGCTATTCGGACAAAGACGCCTCCAATATTATCCGAAGCTGACATTGACACGCCTCTTCCTCCAACGCTATCGCCGGATGGTATTGGTATCATTCGCACAAGGGATGGACTTGGCGAAGTCAATCTCTTCCGTCTACATGTTGATCTAGCGTCGATCGAGGGTAGAATATACGACCTACTTTACTCCAATCGTTCAACTAAGCTTCAAGACTCGGAGCGACGACAACATGTCGGAGTCCTGCAACTATCATTGGATCAATGGTACGAGCAGATTCCACCAGCTTTTCGAATGGAAAGAGTTTCTGCAGCAGTGAGTGAGGAAGACCTAAATCATATGACAAAACTGTACTACACCTATTTATTGTGTATTATCACAATGCATGGGGTATATAGTGTTCAAGCCGAGTGGATGCAAAAGGTTGGCTCGCTGAGTAGGGCCGCAATCCGAGACTTTGCGGTAGCAATCCAAGGTCCTAGAATTACCGCATGCTTACAGAGGCACACTCCACCCTTGGGCAATGGCTGGGCTCACTGTGTAGATGTCAGTCGAGAGTCTATGAAGCTATTTCAAGCCACGATGCCGACTCAAGCTCTTGTCTGGTAAGTTGGTATCGCCCAATGGGGTCCACTCAATGCTTAACATTTGACACAGGCAATGCAGCTGCGCCCAATGGTCCGCTCTCATTCTGCTTCTCGCCAACATCCTCATGCACCCAGGCCACCAGCTTGCTCGGGTCGATTTACAGACCGCAACCAAATCAATGCAGACATTCGACAAGCTACTGGATCTTGCACAGACGGTAGCTTACGAGGCAATCAATCGCGTTATCAAAGACTTGTATAAGAAAGCCGTTTCTCTTGTGGGCGTCGAGCATATCGAAGAGCTGGACGAACTGGATGCGTGGGGTTCGTCGGCAGGGCTTGAGGGAGGGATGAGCCTCTATGGGAATGAAGCAGATTTCACCGAGTTTGGCCACCGTGAACACCAGGCTGGCAGCGACCTTGAATTTGAAAGCTTACTAAACCCCTTTGTCATGGAGGAACTCATACCAAATTGACAGTTTTCGAGTGTTTTCGAGTGTATGTTTCGAAAAGGGGACTCGGAATCGGAGTAGCAACGGCGATTAGATCGGCTCTCAGTCTTGTCTTGCTCCCTTAATACTATCAATCTAGTAGCCGAGCCCAGAAATGTACTGTACAGACTTATATACATCAGATCTTGCTCTCGGCTTTGATTAGCAACGCCTCCCCGGTTGCTATTAGTGGCCCAAGCAGTCGCAGCGCATTTTCTATGAAGTCTATGACCTGGGCTCATTAGATAGAAGCCGACTTATTATCTGATTCCCAAGCCAGTGATCTTGGCAAATGTCTTCCTCTTGCTCGAGATCCGGTGGCCATAAACGCCAAGAATCCACTCCCCGCAAACTCGAGGTCGCTAGCGTCTTCCCCTCACCCTAAAGGATCAGTGGCTCGATGTTAGTGCAGTGCAGCAGTTGGTTCATAAAGGGCGGCCTGTCCCTCCACCGCATTTCCTCCGCTCCCTCCCCACGCGATCCCCCGGCGTTTTTGCCGACACACAAACCCCAACGAGTAATGCAGAAGATTGCAGCAACCGTATGGCATCTGCACAGTAATTGATGAACATGCACAGCAACAAGAGGGCAAGACACAGTTCCGACGGCAATGTCTCTAATCGCCTCCGAACAAGCACCAACACAAATGCCTCTAAGCCGCACATGACAAGAGCCTGTATGTAAAGAGTTGTCGCAGGGGGTTACTTTGCTCCTCTCTTCAGAATCAGTGAAGCTCATGATATTGTGTTTTATTGCAGGCGCTGAGTGCAAGAAGCTCAAGATCAAGTGTTTCGTGCAGCCAGGCCAGACAGCTTGCAACAAGTGCCTCAAGAGCGGCATTCATTGCGTTCCCCACAACTTTGCGCAAAAGTTCATTGACGAAGACGCAGTGTATGTTCCCGTGTCAGGAGTCATTGTACACCCTTGTCTGACCCAAGATGTAGATGGAAAGCCCAAGCCGCATCTACCATCGACCGCCTTAAAGATGCTGTTGAGCACCTCTTACATCACAGCAACTTACCTAATCTCGCAAGCTACGATGGATCGATGCGCATGCTACGCGCCTTGTCCGAGCATGAAACTGCCGCCGTGCAGACCCTATCGCCCGTGACCACGGATCATTCATCATCGGGAGGCCTGTCTCATGGCAACTTCACAGCCGAAGGCCCATCGGCCGGACTCCGCGGACATCAAGACGATTCCGATTTGGTGCCTCTACCGATGAACAACCTTTACAATCTTACAGACCCTACCAACTCTAGCCTTATTCGTGTAGATCCATCCGATGTCAATGGCCCAGACCTGATCAGCCAGGGCATTGTGACACTCTCCGAAGCAGAATTTCTTTTCGACCATTACCGAGATCACATCAATCCGCTGCTATGGGACGGAATGCTTTGCTCCCACAAATCCCTTCATGAGGCGAGGCAGTCGTCATCTCTCTTGGTCGCTGTCGTTCTCACGGTAGCGGCTTTGCACATTCCGGACCGAGAACAGTCTTTACACGCCACGTATGGCGCATTCGTCTCGCTCATGAGGGGCTCTTGTCTTCTACGCTGCCAGAATCTCGACATCATTCGAGCGCTCTGTATCGGCGCTTTCTATCTTACAAGCTTGAGCTGGGCGCTCTGTAGTCGAGCGGTGCGAGTAGCAACAGAGATGAATCTACACAAGTCGTCGCTACAATTTGCCCGAGGATCTCTTGAGTCATATGAAAGAGTTCGACTTTGGTACGTCCTATACGTTTGTGATCACCAGTTCGCTCTAGCATATGGACGTCCGCCTCTTATGCACGAGGATGCGGCTATTCGCAACGCTGAAAAGCTTCTGACAAGCGGTCTCTCCTCGCGAGGCGACCGAGGTCTTGTAGCCCAAGTAAAGCTATTTCGAATTCTTGCTAGCAGCTATTTCATGTATGGATGTGACCCGGATCTAGAATTGAACGGCGAAGACTTCGAGAAAGTCCAGTCATTTAACATCTCTGTTGATCAATGGCGCCTCGAGCATCAGTCAACAATGCAAGTTGAGTTCGCCAAAGAGAGCGTCCTTCCGCCAAAGGCAAACACTCTGTACTACCATCTTGCCCGTTTCCAATTAAACTCGGTCTCCCTTCGAGGAATTTCGGCGAGGGAAACATCTCAAGACCATCCAGGCATCGACATGAATTCGGACCGACAAGAAGCCGCTAACAACGCTATAATGGCTGCAGCTAGTACAGCAAAGCTCATTGTTGACGATGCTGCTCTTCAAAGGGCTATGATAGGCTTGCCTATATTTGCCCATGCCATGATAGCAGTCTGTGCGTCATTTCTACTCAAAATGGCTGTTGTTTTCGGCGAACCCGACTCACATCTTGATGGCACATTACATCTTCCTAGAGACTTGGCTGAGTATGGCCTGAACTTTCATACCAAAACAGCACTTACAAACGTGGAAAGCTTGGTCCGCGTTCTAGGTCAAGTTGCGGATAAAGCAAGTCGTGGTCATGTCGCAAGACAGGTCGTTACCGGCCTACGAGAATTGCTGCAGCGATTCTCATCTGGACGGGAACCAAACACATTCATCTATTCAGGCTCACGGACCAAGGACTCGTCGCATTCGTCTATACTTGGTGCTAAGAACACTCTTCCCGGGTGCAATGAGAGCGAAATCGTCGCCCGTCGGGATATGGTTGGATTGAATTATCCACAGTTCGATGTATCAGAAAGCCATGCCAATCACGGACTGGCAATCGAGGGTCATGAACAGAACCAGCAAGACCCCTTCGACCTCACAGGGGACTTGGACTGGCGCTTTGACGATGGCTTCTTATGGGGGATTGATGCTATCAACGTTGATTTTCAAGCACCATTTCCTTAGCTAGCCGAGAATTTGTACTTTTAACATTCGGAAGACCGGAATTGGGTCACTGGGTCTTTACTGGACATTCTTTAAGCTAGATGTTTCAACTTCTCGGTGGCTACCTTACACGATGTATACGCAATTACAAGGCTATCAGAGAGTATTGTGATTCGAGAGTTTGAAATATGCCAAAGTTAGGGCTTAGCTGATCCAAACAAGCCATATCATTTCCTATTAATCTTTACGCACACATAACCTTACTCTTTGAGTAGTAGAAGTCGTCTTGACGAAAACCTCTGGCTTTACAACCCAGCATATGTAATTCAACAGTTTCTCTCGCCTTTGACTTAGATATTCTCGTCCGGCTGTCGTCCTTCTCTGCGAGCTCGCAGCTCTGCAGCAATGACCTCGGCATGGTCCTTCCTCTCAATGGGATATTTCTTGAAGAAGTAAGCAAAAATGGCGGTGCAGATGCAAAGGACTCCAAGCCAAGTAGTGGTGGTTGCAAAACCAGGAATGTAGCGCGGCGCGTCCTTATCTGGCCATAGCCATGAAGAGTAGATGGACGAAGCATTGCCAATGGCGTTGATGAGGGCAATAGCAATGGCTCTCTTGGCCGCTGGCTGAGGGATGACATCGGATACCCATGTCTTGACCAAAGGAGAGCAGCCGTAGATTGTGCCGAAGGCAAAGATGGTAAGAACGTACTGTGCCATCTTGTCCTGTAGTGCGGTCACGGCAATGAAAAGGACGCATCCAACGGCGGAAAGACCGCATATGAACTGCCATTTCGCCTTGTACTTGTCTGCCAGCCAACAGCACGCAACAACATAAACTAGCGCAGCCATGTAGGCGGGAATGGTATGATCTTCATCAACTTATTAGCAGGGGCGTAAGTGTGCCAAACCGGTAATGGATGTCAACTTACATTGGCCAACAGGACCTGTCCATCCAAAGCTTTTCACCAGGGTCGGGATGAAGTACTGCATAGTCTGGGAGCCGGTGACAAGCACGAAAAGGAGGCACTGGGCCCACACTCTCCAGTCAACGCATGTCATCTTGAAGGCTGTCCAGTGAGGGATGTGTTCAACGCCCCGACCTTGCGTAAGACCAATGCCGTCCGCTGCCAGTCTGTTGCAGGCCAAGATGCTCTCCTCCTCGTTGAGAAAGCGTTTGCTGTTTGATGGGTAGTCAGGCATGAGGAAGAAGATGATCACAGATGCGACCACAGATGCGAGGCCCTCGAGAATCTAATGAACAACACGTCTCAGTATTTCGGGTTCATCAGCCACTCTTGATCTCGTGAAATGGGCTACTCACAAAAAGCCATCTCCATCCAGACAGGCCACCTGCTCCATCCATGTGATCGGTGATGACTCCTGCAAGAAGACCAGAGATAGCTCCTGCAATTGGAACAGATGTGTAGAGGAATGCGTATCGTGTTGCGAGCTCATATTTCCGATACCAGGAAGAGAGGAAAAAGGCACATCCTGGAGCAAATCCGGCCTTGACATAATGTTATCAATCAAAGTCTGAGTGGTAATTAAGGCATGTTATTAGCTTACCTCGGCAAACCCAAGGAGGAATCTCAGGCCAGCAACTTGGCTCCAATTCTGCGTCGCTCCCATAAGCGCAGCGAAAGTGCCCCAGACAAGACCCAGCCCGGGGAGGAAGACACTCGGCCGGACTCGAGTGAGAATCATGTTCGCTGGGACTTCGAATACAAGATAGGAGATGAAGAATGCCAAAACAATGATAGAGTATTGCGAAGATGTCAATCCAAAGTCGCTTTGTAGACCTCCTGTTTTAGCATTGCTGGGGATGAAAATTAGCATTGTTGCGATTTGGGGTCAACATCAAAGTTGCAATGGGCTTTTACACACCCAATATTGGCTCTGTCAAGATAGCCGAGAAGATAGAGCACCCAGGTACATGGAAGAATGCGCCAATCAAGTTTACGCTTGAGTCTCTTCTCTTCTGGCGTGCCATCGACCCATTGAGCGGCGATCTGCTGCGCCTGGGCAGCATCAGCAGCATCAGCACTCTTGTCATTGACATGGCTGTCGTTGGACTTGACAGACAATGCAGCAGTGGACGTATGCTCCACACGCTGGACTGCGTCGACGTGCTTTTCTCCAGGTTCAGACATATTGTGTGGTCGAATCAACACCAAAGATCAACTTGGGGCGGAAGGAAGATGTAGCAGAAGCTATTAGGAACGAGAGCGTTGTACGACCAGACTACTGGATCCCGCCTGGCATCCATCCTTATATCCTCAAGGATATCGATTATGGGATCGCGGTGCTTGTCCGCGAACTTGGAGAGAACATGGATTTGTGGAGCCGAACGAGATGCCCCATGGGGAGGCAGAGCGCAAGCGGAGGAGGGTTGAATAGTGTGGGCCACATCGGAGGGACCACCGTGCTTGGCATTTCTAAGATGTGCTCGAGTACTGTGCTGACCTAAATCACTAATCACGGTGGTGGCAACGAGACCAGGTAATTTACGGTCTCGGCAAAAGTGCCGTGTTCTTGTCCTAGTGCAAGGGTCCCTGTGCGCGGCGCTATTACCGTCAGAGGATAACAGCGATCGAAAGGGACCATCCAGAATAAATGCCCAGGAGCTAGGAAATTAGACTTACATAGAATAGCCGCATCAGGTCATATGAGCCACCGATGAACAGTGCTTGTCCGATCAGAGCGGCGAAAGTACCGACAGTCCTCGCCTCTTTCATGATCTAGATGTAAGGTAGGGGCCAACTCGTGCGCAATCCATTGATCCGTAATAGTTCTGGCGAGTTTGTTTGTGAGTATCTGATACACATCAGTCTACTTCATGTTGAATGGCCCAGAGGAAGCAAGATCACTGAATTATAAGAAGTCTTTGCAGCTAACTTCTGCAACGCTATCTTTGATATTCGTCCTCATTTGTTACCAGTCTACTTTTGATACCCATTGAATACCTCAGTGTCCATCAATATGCCTGCAGCAGTCGGAGCTTGTCAGCACGCAGCACCTCGGCGGCCACGTATTGCCGTGACTCTGGGTGATCCATCTGGTATTGGCCCGGAGCTGGCTGCCAAGCTACTGAGCAATCCTGCAAACCTCCAGAGAGCCGATATCGTCCTTCTGGCAGACAATACTGAGTTACAGTCTGCCATTCAGGATGCGGGCAATGTCCAAATTGCAGTGTCTAGCGGCCGAGCTGGTCCTCAGGGAATTCAAGTGTTGGATGACAGCAGTGTCTCTCAGTACCCTTCAACCAGGGGCGAAGTCTCGAAGGCCAGCGGCGCTCGCTGTATCCATCAGCTGAAGAGGGCTCTGAAGCTGGTTCAGGCCGGCGAGATTGACGGCATTGTCTTTGCACCACTCAACAAGAGCTCGCTTAAGCTTGCCGGCATGACCGAGGAGGACGAACTCCGCTGGTTTGCGAAACAACTGGATTTCAAAGGGACCACTAGTGAGATCAACATTGCAGGTCCGCTTTGGACCGGCAGAGTGACGAGTCATATCGGACTAGAGGAGGTTGCTGAGCGCATCACCAAGGAGTCGACACTTAAGGCTATCGAGTTATTGCAAAGACTGAGGTATGAATGCTATCTACTGATTACGTTAATCCACTATCAAGAGTCATGAAGCTTGCTAACATAGCATACCGATATCAGATGGGAGTCTGGCATCGATTCACCTCGTCTTGGAGTTTGCGCTTTGAATCCGCACAATGGTGAGAATGGATCATTTGGGCGTCAGGAGATCGACCACATACGACCTGCCGTTCAGGCAGCTCGAGAAAAGGGCATCGACGTTATTGGGCCTTTTCCATGTGATACCATCTTCCTTAAGAGAGAGCATTTTGACGGCATTGTGACTATGTATCATGACCAGGGGCAAATTGCAATGAAGCTGCTGTCTTTTGACGGCGGTGTTACGGTCCAGGGCGGCTTGCCAATCCCAATAGCCACACCAGCTCATGGGACAGCATTTGATATTGCAGGGAAGAATCTCGCTTCTGTAAGCAGCACACAAAATGCATTTGACGTCGCTGTTACCATGGCAGAAAGAAGAATCTTGAAGGAGTCTCATGAGAATGGCTGCCTCGCCACACAGGTGCCAGTCAAGACAGGTCCTCTTCCCAAGTCCACGATCGAGCTAAGCACTGCATGTTGTTGAACACTATATCATACGATAGATGGACGCTGTTATAAAGGGTGAATACACTAGTTTAGACTCATTGTTTTTATAGAAGAGATTATAGCAAAGAATTTGAGATGCCTTACCCTTTGCCTTGTCTGGCATTAGTTAAACCAGGTTGTCTATTCTATTGTGCCCATCGTGACATTGCCATATTACGAGGTCCCAATCTGCTAGACGTGTTCCCCCGAATGACCTCTCATTCTACATATTGGGTCGGATTTACTTCAAAAAATATAGATGACCAAGCCTCCAGCTATTTCTTCTGATGTGTCGACCCCGGAGTGTTATTTGTGGCTTAAAATAGCAATTACTACGGTATTGATGTTGATAAATCGGTAAAATTCTCCATTCCACATTTGATGGCCAACAGCAATAGTCCTTAGATAGGAGCGATTAGCCTTCTCAAGGGAAACAATTACTAGTCTGCATACGAAATCAATGTTCCTAACCTCATTCCCTAGACTCTAGACAACGTGATAGTAAGCGTCGTAGAAGGTTGAACTTCATTCAGTTCCAGAGTCGAAATCAGCTGCCGTCCGATGCACAGTGAAGTCTACCACATCACACCACAGACTGGTAGAGCTCATCAATATTAGTAGTACCTTCGAGCTTCAGGTCAAGTGCCTCTCCAAGTTCTAGTGCCAGGTCATTAGCGGCGTGGGCCATCTCTTTTGTTCCTCCCAGTCGAAAGAGAGCACAATAATGCGACTGTGCCCACCAATGGACGCCTTGGGCGGTCAGGGCTATCAGTACTAGCCTCTCAGTCTCGACCATACTGAGAATTCGATCTTCTGCCATAATATGACCAGATGAAAGTGTAACAGCATAATGAACTGCTCGCCTACTTGTGAGATAATCTTTCTTGTGGAGGCTGTCTTGGGGTATGTAAAACAATATAGCTTACACAGATCTGGGGATTTTGCTTGTATTGGGAGAATGAATTGATCGATAAACTCTGGTTTGATCATTGAGAGCCATTGCAACGCCTTGGATTTCCCCTGCTCGTCATTCATCCAGTCCCTTGCTGGGCCTCCATTGTCAATATCTTCCGGCTTGACGATACTGAACAGAGCCATTTCCGAGGCGAGCACTCTTGCTTGGCCCAGAGGAAACACGGCTTTCAATAGTGTTTCACGCACACGGCCCCATACCTTTTGTCGTGCTCTCTGATCTTGAGCAAACGAAAGTGCTTTCTCATATACCAAAGGAGTGAGCTCACCGCGGTTACAAGCAGCAAGGCCAATGATCTAGCAACACGGGTGAGCACAAGCCTACTACAAGGTTGCCCTAAGCGCCCACGTGAGGAAGAAGGATTGGCTGAGGATTTCGTACCAATTCGCAATACCAGAGATCATCGTCTTGTCGAGTCGCAGCGACTTTGTTTAGTAAATCATGAAACCTTTCTTGCTCCATGATGCAATGATAACTATGCAGTCAGTGAAAAATATCTAGAACTAATTTTTTTTGATAGGAATTCCGAAGCATCCGCGAATCTTGACAATAGCCGAATGCCTTAGACTTTGAATATAACTTTGTAAAATCCAATTTTGTCAAGAGCAAACTTTTGGCTCATATTGATTAAGTGATTGAAATAATCTAATACCATTGGGTAACTCGCTTCTTTTTCCTGCATAAGCATCAAGGATCCGACGTACGTGTTTTCCGGACTGAGCCTAAATCCTGCTAGATGGTTCTGACATCAGACGTCATACCTCTGAAATAGCTTACCCAAAGAAGGAACAACTTATATAATTCTGCCGACTCTTGATGAGCGTAATAGAGGGGGTGTGAGCCTGCTGACATCGAGAAATTGTTCCACTAAGGTCAAACTGATAAGACTAAGATCTAAGCGAGCATACATCTGTACTTGTAAGCCGAAAATGAAGCACCGAAGGATCGAAGTAAGTGTATTCAGCATGGGAAAGGTGCTTCTTACCTGACAAGTTTTCATTGCGCATTGTTCATTGGCCGTTACTCCCTTGAGCTGCGGCTGACTACCATGTCGGTTGCTCAGGGCTCGCCTTGCCTTGGGAACAAGAAGAAAATGACCCGAGACATAGATGTGCTAAAGTCGTTTTCCTTCAGCGAAAATTAACAGGCCCTTGTTTACATTTACACTTCGATCCAATAACTCATCAAAAGAGGGCTGATTACGGAAACGTAGAGGAGCTCGGGGATAGCGGCCAAACTGAATTAACTCTGAATAAAGAGGAGCGACACATATCCTTTCGAGAGTTGCCTGATATGTAATAAAAAACTCATAATTGAGAAGCGAGACTGACTCTGTTGTTCTATTCATCATGTTCTTACCAGCCTACATCCCGAAGTCATGACTATCATCAGCGCACTGTGATGAACTCAGACCGGATCGTCGCCTCCATAGTAGAACCTGGTCGGCACGACGAAGCGAGTTTGACCGTTACTTTTGGCTATAATGTACGTCATCTGTTTCGAGCGTCTTGTGTTAAAGATATGCCAGCGACGTAAATATGTTTGCGCTATATAATTTCAGCACCATATTTCTAGAGAGAAAACAGCAGCAATTGCACAAGTCACTAAAGAACGTCATGTCATTCATTCTCTACTGTCACCCATTCTCAATTAATTCTACTATGGTGAGATACACATTGGCTCTAAGTGGACCACCAATCAATGATGCTTCCACTATGTCAGTGACTGAACATATAGTGGATATCTTCAACGATGAGCAGCTAGAAGAATGGTTTTTGTGCAACGTGAATCCGAAGGGGCAGGTACGAGCCATAGTCTTTCTTCATCGAGTCTACGCGGAGCTTTCCGCTCAAGTCGGTGGTATTGAGACTCATTTGAAATCTCCAGGTCCCGGTTCTCACCTCATCGGTTCTCGAGGAACCTATTACCGAATGCGTAAATATCACACAGCTCATCTGTAGTAGATATCCTCAGCTCGTCCTTGAGGGGCATAAAGAGGAAATTTTGTACTATCTCGATGAACTGCATCGTATCAGCTACTTTTCGTTGACATTTTCTGGAAAGGAGCGAGGTGGGTGAACCCTTCCTCTGTGTTTTTAGGAACCTAACGTATCCATGATTCTTGCTGACAAACCTCTATTTAGTTCCCCGGGCTATGGCAGACAGGATTAAAAAGATGATCGCGGATACGCAGTATTCAGAGAAATACCGTGAAGCACTCAAACACAAGCTAGACCTGTAAGCTTTCATCATGTCATTCAAGTAGGCTTTGATCCTATTTACGATGTTCCTAGAAATTAACGGTACCAGTGTCGAGAGAGAGAAACTACCTCTGCTTGAGAACAATGTTCCCGAGAAAATGCAGAAGCAGTCGCAAGAGCTCTTAGAAATCCTAGCTGGCCTGTTGAAGGAGGAGCAAGGTCCTTGGCTCTGGGGCTTAACAGAACCTACAGCCCTTGACGCCCACCTGGTTGCATTCATCGCGCGACTCCAGGACCTTGGCCGAGGGCAAGTCGTACCTCCGGGCCTGAAGCTCTACGCAGAGTCCGCGAAGAATGGGCCTGAGTGGAAGAATGTCATGCAGGGTCGACGGACCTTCCCGCAAATTGTGGATTAGCAAAGATGTCGATTTTTGGGGTTCGCAACATGAGCTTCAGGTCTTTCAGTGTATTTTCTCTGCTATAGACGCTCACCTCACGAACTCCAGTCCAGTGAAGAAAATGTCAAATGCGTCGATTGCATCACCAATGCGTTTCTGGTCCCCTAAACAGCCCTGGATCTCACCTCATCATGCGTGTCTAGACATCGGCAGATGTGATGGGACGGCCACTCCTCGTTTGAATCGGAGCTGCCGTGTCGCCCTAAGTAGGTAAGGGAGTTATCCGTGTACATATTTTGGCTATAGCTTAAGATAACTAGACCATGCCCAGACACCAATGAAAATTTTGGTGAAATGGTATTGCCTCGCCTAGTAGATTCTTGGTGTCTCATTCCAAGGGCTGACTTAGGGCCACTAGCTCGTGATCTAGACTCTTCAATAGCCGAAAGCCTCGCGAACGCAGATTCAAAGTTATAATGCCTTCTGGCGGCGCCTGCCACGAAACGAGTTTCCGGTATATCGGTAAGGGCTAAATGTTTGCCTCATCACCAAATTGTGACATCTCCAAGTGATTGGTCAATTTTCACGTGCACGTAAGACTGCCGAAGAGCCAACATGCCTCCCACATTCCCTCAGCCGGAACTATTGACAGGCGGCGGCCAATTTAGTCTATCGAACTTCCAATTGGGGCTGGATTTTAGCATTTGTCGTCACCCCAGGAAGCGGGCAGGATGAACAAGCTTCGATGGGGCGTAGACAGGGTCCATTCCATCAACGATTCTCCAAAAGGCACAAGACTTCTGCGCTCCCTACTATGAGTAGCCTGAGGCGTGAGACCAACCTGCCTAGCTATTCCTGAAGTAGCTGTTGCCCTTACTACCAAGACGGCGTGGCTGGCTGGGATATTCGGAGTCAAGGTGCGCTGGACACAATCTCCAGAGCATTTCGGAGTATAAAGCTGGTGATTGACATCGATCGTTAGCCGTCAGATTTTTTTTTCCCCAGAGTAATTCATCAGACATTATCGTACATTCGATATGGCCCGTCTATCTCTTTCTGCTGTAGCCGCTATTTTGGCAATCACACCTCAAGCATATGCAACTGGTTGCAACGCCGACAATGTACTTCGAGCTCTGCGTCGCTACTCTACGGAGGCAGTGCCTTTCTGTGCCACTTTCATCCAGCAGACGTCCACCGTCACCGCCACTCCCTCAATTCAGCTCACAAGCTTGGTCTACGTCACCCAAACTGTTACTGCTAGTACCGAAACAGACTTGAGCTTGGCGACGGTGACCTCGACCTCCACTTTGACGAAATATCTGACAGAGACCGATTCCGTTTCGGTCACTCAAGTGCAGCACTATACTGCAACTATTCCAACTCTTACGATCACCACCACAATTTCCAACAGCTACGGACTCGGTGGAAATCCCGCGTCTCCATTCAATAAGAGGGGTGCCGCTTCTCAATCCCTCCCGACCTACGTTTCTCAGTATCCAGCATCGAGAGTCAGCAGTGCTTGCTCATGTCTCGAAGGAGTTGCCACCTCGACCGTGACTGCCACGGCCACAGGTTCGACTAGACTCCTCACCACCACCATTTCGATAAATACGGAACTTGACTTGACTGTTACTACCACGACAACCTTGGTTGTAACGGTCGGAGCCATTCAGACTGTCGAATCCAGCTCGGATGTAACACTTACTCGCACGCTATCGAGCAGCACGCTCACTACCCTCGCTCTAGCCACACAGACTGTCGTATGTGGTGCTTGTGTTTCTGGCAACCAGGTTGTACAGAATGCAGGTTTTGAAGAAGTTGACTCATCTGGCGCGCCGCTTGTCTGGACAACATACGCACAGCAATATACCTCCATTTCTGATATTGTTTCGAGTGGTGCTGTCAATGGCAATCATTTGATGATTGCCACCGAGACTGACACCTCACCTTCATATCCTCGCGTTATTCTTGCTCAATTCCTTGCAGTGTGTCCGACGGCTAGCTACACCTTGTCGTTCTATGTCGGCATATTCAATCCCAACGGCGGCTCGGTCACTTCTCAAGTTGAGGTCCAACTGGCTGGGAATGTTATTGTTGCTAAGACACCCCCTTGCTCCTCGGGATCTGGGGGTAACTGTACCCCTGCAGTAGGGTCTCCTGGTTACTATTGGAGAAAGATTACTGTGACAGGGATAGCTCCTGCAAGCTGCAATCCGGAGTTGGTTTTCAGGGTTTACTTCACAAAGACAACACAAACCGTGCAAAAGGTTCCTCGAGCTGTCATTGACTTGGTTAGATTTACACAGGAGTAAAGCCAATAGCCATCAACCAATTAGGCAACGAGGCAGACTCGTTTTTCCTCAGTCAGGCCGGCCGAAAACTGGAGGTCTTTGATATATAAAATTGAATAGCGATTAGATTCAGCTCTTTCGATGCCAAGTGATTTGCGTCAATCTTGAATAACTTCTCCGCACTAGGTTTGATCTCTCCATCATTTGCTATTGCAAATATTTGAGATTAGAAATAGATAGACTTCGTATAATGGCAGCATGTCGGGAACTTTTGGTGAGTCTGCCGATCATAGCCGCGCTGAAGACAACTTTGGGGTAATATCGCAAGGATGTCGGCATTGTCAACAGCAGAACTAAACGAATCTGGCAGGTGATGTCGGTGATCCAGCCCCAATTGATTAGATTCCGAAGGATTCAATGGCTAAGGCGCCAGGCACCACCACTAAAACAGATAACTAATTTATCAATGCATTTGATCAGGAGTTGGACTCCGTGGACTAGTTTAAGGCGTCTTGGAGTGAATCCTGACTGCGACGGTCATGAATTCGATAGCATTATAAACACTGCGATTATTTGTCACACGGGACCATGAGAGCAGCGGCTTTGTTAATCTTTGTTTCCCACTTCTACAAAGTGTTGAGTGGCAGTGATGTCGTTCGCTAAGCTTTTCGGCATTGGGCTTGCGCTCGCTGCCTCTGTGATCATGGCCGAGGATGTGCCCTTGCTACCGCAGAACAGCGCTGGCTCCGATTGCGTGCCAGCAGGACCAGACTTTCCCGCTCCTGCACGCCTTTCGACTAGCAAATACCTTGCAAGTGCGGCAATCGAGTTCGAAGCACTTCTAGCGAACGAAACTCTGGGGTTGAGGTCGAACAAGACTGCATATGGCGTTGCCATGTTTTCGGCTAAGGAAGACGAGACTCTATACGAATACTATTTCACACCACCCATGGATATAGGCGTTGAAGAGGTTGATAGGGACTCAATGTTTCGTATAGGAAGTATTTCAAAGGTCTTCACTGTGTGGACATTTTTGGCAGAAGCCGGTGATGTAAGCTTTAACGAGCCGGTCACCAAATACGTTCCCGAGCTCGCGTCGATTTCAAAGAGACAAGATAAAAGTATTGTGTATGATGACATTGACTCGGTCAGATGGCAAGACGTGACACTGGGTCAGCTGGCAAGTCATTCAGCTGGAATTACTCGGGACAGTAAGTTGGACCTTTCAACCATATGCAACTGCCAATGCGAACTAATCTGACCTGACAGCCACACTGTTCGATTTCAGCACCATGTTCACATCAGAACAGCTGCTTGAGTATGGCTTCCCAACTACTGACAAATGTCATACACCGGTCTGTGGAGCGAATATGACGCAACCGGCATGCACTCGTGAACGTAGGCATCCTCCAATTGAATCTCAACTAAATCTCATCTTGGAAGTGCTAAGTGTTGACTCTTCTCCTATACAGAGTTCTTTTATTATCTCTTCCAGCAGCATCCTGTCTTCCCTACAGCCCATTCTCCGGTGTATAGCAATATCGCTTTCCAAATACTAGAATACGCACTTGAGACAATCACTGGCAAAGATTTGAACACAGCAATGACCGAGATTTTCAACCGTCTCGGGATGACTCATAGTAGCTATAAAGATATACCAGCTACTGGTGGAGTTATCCCCGGTGACGACGCTGCTGCCATCTGGAATTGGGATCTTGGAGTAGATAATCCATCCGGTTCTATCTATATGTCTACTGGAGACATGGTGAAGGCTGGACAATCTATGCTCCAATCCACTATCTTAGAACCTGGGCTTACACGTCGTTGGTTCAAGCCAGTTATTCAAACAGGGTACGCTGGTGCCGCAGTGGGAGCACCTTGGGAAATCGAGTACCTTGAATCCCCGAACAATCGTATGGTACAGTACTTTACCAAACAGGGGGATGTTAATACATATCATACTGCTATGGTTCTCTCGCCTGAACACCAAGTTGGTTGGATTGTACTCGTTGCTGGCACTCTGGATTCCCCAGCTTCGACAATCCGCACGCAGTTGATGGATGCCTTTAGAAGTGTATTCATGCCTGCAGTGGAGGACCAGGCAAAAGCTGAAGCTAGCGAGAATTTCGGCGGCACGTACATTGATATTCAAACGAACAGTTCCGCAATTATCACTGTCGGCGAAGATGGCCATCCTGGCCTCGGGGTCCAAGTGCTCGTAAGCCATGGCATTCCGTTCATTGGCCCTGGAGTTGCACCAGATCACCCGGCACCGGCATTGCTAGGCATTGGTAACCACACTCGATTATATCCGACAACTCTGAAAACAGTCCGGAAAACTGCAGATGGATCAGGTACTTACGAATCTCGCTTGGGTTTCAGAGCTGTGTTCCAGCCTATGACACAAACAGGTACACTTGAAGATCCATGTTTGTTCATGTGGGCGACGATAGCAGGATACAGAGAAGGCCAACAGGGCATCGACGACTGGGTATTTGAGACGGGTGAGAATGGGCTTGCCGATGTCCTGCATCTGCGCATGCTGAAACTGAAGCTAAAAAGGGAAAGTTGATGCAAGATACAGTACAATGCAATATAGATAAAGGTAATTAAGACTAGCCCAAATCATAACTTAAGGAGAGTATTATAAAAGTAACAACTAATCAGACTAAAGTCAGACTTTCATCTTCGGGTCCCCTAGGTTACATCGTCTCTCAAATAAGTAAA